TGGCCTTTTGTACCTATTTATGATTTAATCATCTTGCCTTCTTTTTGAGATAACTGTTATAACTCACTAGATAAACTGTTTGAAGAGAGAATTAGAGACATTAAACGATGTGCCTAATAAATTTAAAAAAAAAGATATTTGTTGAATGAAGGTTTGTTCATCCACTAGACTGATATTCTGTAAGGGAAAAATTTATGTCTATTCTGTTCACCACTGTATATCTAGGTCCAATACTGGGTTCGATTAATACCTGTTGAATAAACAAACTGAATGAATCACCCTTTCTTTCCATTCTCATTGCTGCCTTAGTTTAGGCCTATCTAACTGCAAAGTTCTAATTCCCCCTCTAATTTATTCTCTGTAATACAACCAGAATGATTTTTCCAAAGTGCAAATCTTCTGGGCAAATACTCAGTAATGAAATTGTTGGATCATATATGTTAAGCATATGTTTAACTTTATAAGCGGTTACACAACTACTTCTGCACAGAAACTAGAAAATCCTAGGACTTCACTAAAAAAACAATGAATTTTATGATATATAAATGTAAGTGAATAAAAAATCTTTAAAAATTTTTTGAAATAAATTTGATGGTACATTCATGCTTGAAGCATTTTAAAGAGGACATCTATGGGGCACCTGGGTGGCTCAGTCGTTGAGTGTCTGACTCTAGATCTCAGCTCAGGTCTTAATCCCACGGTTAGGGGATCAAGCCCTGCAGTCCAGCTGGGCACTAAGTATGCAGCCTGCTTAAGAAATTCTTTCTCTCTTTTTCTCTCTCTCTCTCTCTCTCCCTCTCTGCCCCTCTCCTCCACTCACGCTCTCTCTAAAATAAAAATTAAAAATAAATAAATAAATACTGCCGCTCTAAGAACTCAAATAATCAGAAAAGTCAAAAGACTGAGGACAGGAAATAGCCTATGTATCTCAAATTTCTCTTGGCCTACAGCGGGTAAGATAATACTCTAAAGTTGGTAGGTTTAGACACAGAAACATAAAGTATTTAGATTTATGATAACTATTATACCAGTGACAAAGGTCCTTTTACTTTCCAACTTAATACCCTTTTCTACCTTTTTTTTTTTTTTTGCTTACTACAGAAAAAATAGTTTTTGCTAATTCAAAAAGTAAAAATTATAAAGAACCACCTTAAAATTAAAAGGCTCCCTTGAGTCCTAAAGCCGTTGAACATACTGTTCCCACACCCTTCCACTGCCACCCCTCCCTCAACTTCACAGACCACCCAACGTCAACACTTAAGCAGAATTAAGCTGTCCCTCCAGTTCTGCCCCAACTGCAGGCATTGCTCCCCTACAAAGCGCTCCCGGCACGGTCCCACAATTATTAGCTTCTGCCACCAGGCTGGCAGCCACTGGGAGCAAGGGCTTTGTAGCCACTGCTGGCACAAAGTAACCGCTCGACCGCTCGATTCATCAACCTGCCAGGTCCGCGAAAGGGTGGGTCACACCAACGCGTCTGGGCTCGGACTCCCCCGCCCCGCCAGCCCGAGGCTTCTTACACTCCGAGGTGCGTGTGAGACACGATCTTTCCGCAGGCAATGGTGGCCGGGCCTGGCTCAAAGCCGAGCGCCTGCAGATACATCCAAAGATGCTCCTTCTCGAAAGAGGTGACCCAGACCGAGCTCATCTTCGCGGTAGGCAGTATTACTGCAAAGGAACTAAGGGCAGGCCCAAACGACTCAGAGGCCCCTCATGCTCCCTCCCTACGGGCAGCCTGAGGTAGTGGCGGCCGCTCCATTGCCACCGTTTGTTCCTCTCTCGCCCGGAGCCATTTCACCTCAAACGGCCGTAAAGTCTCAGGGAAATGAAGAACCTAACGGTACTACGGTACAACTGCCTAAGCGAAGGTAATAGAGACCAAGACTCCCGCGCTTCCGGAAAGGCGGTAAACGCCGGCGCTGCCCTGCTTCCGGGGGAGGAGGGACTTCCTCGGCCGACTATATCTCCCGCCATGCAAAGCGCCCTTCTCTCCTTCCCTTTCCGTCAGACCCAGACGAAACACTACAAGACCCACACTGCATTGCGCTGCCAGCGACTCTTTTGCTCTTGGGTAACTGCAAAAAGTATCTTGCAGGGTTGTGCAGCTTCGCGCTTTCTGATTTTTAGTATCTCTCATTCTTTTTGCTCATGTAGGTCTATTTCACTGGCTAAAAGCCGTATATTTAGGACTCAGACTCGGTGTAGTGAAAAAGCATTGGGTTCCATCTTCACCTGTCTCACTAGCTGTGAGATCTAAACACATCTAACCACTAAGCCCCAGGTCTATTATTAGTAAAATCTTGTGTGCCCTCAAATGCTAAATGTTCCTTTCTTCTTCCTGCTGTAAGAAATCTGGCTCTCCCCTAAGTATACAGCGTCCTCCTGCAACCCTCTCTACTGATGACTGTTTTCTCCCTCGCACCCCATATACAACAGTGCCTGGAAATGGGGGGGGGGAGGGGGTATAATACTTATTTCTTATTATCACCTCTGGCAATTATTGCCTCACTACAACCAGCTGCTTTGAATTTTATGCTTCCTCCCACAACTCTTGCTTCCAGAGGTCTTGTGTAAGATAGGGTGCTGGACCTCATTTTTTAGATTTAGACTTGCTTGTCTCTCCCACATTACTCTTGGGATAATTTTTGCTGATTTCAGTATCCACTTAGATGACCTTACAGTGTCCTGGCCTCTCAGTTCCTTGAACTCTTCTCAATAATCTGGCCCCTTTTTCTCTTTGCCAGGTTTATCTGGCAGAACCCAAGTCCCTATTGCATCCAGTTTTCTGCCTATCCCACAACTGCAGCTTAGCCCCTAAACACAACCATGATGCCTGCTGTCACTGAAAATTCATGACACCTCCAATGGGCTCTTAGGCCTGTCCTTCTCCACCCTATTTACCCCAAATCTCACTCTCCACACAATTGTACATATCTTCTTCCCTTAAATGTCCAATGCTTCCTTTCTCCTCCTCTCGATGATGTCTTTTGTCCTTAGTTAATAGATGCTTCCAGGAAAGACCTTCAATCAACAGTTTACCAACCTGCCTGTATCTTTGCCTACATTAATCTTATTAGTCTGGTTGAATTAAGGTGCACCTCCCTAAGATTAGTCCTTTGACTTATTCAACAGGTCGTATTCATTTTCTCCTACTCAAAGAGTTTGCTCCAGCATCTGTCCTTTATTCTCTCCTGCATTACCAATTCTTCCCATAAGTATACAAACATGCTGTGCTTCCATTGTTTAAAAAAAAATCCATTGACCCCAATGCCTTTCTAGCTACTACTCCACTTCTTATTACAACAAAATTTCTCCCAAAAATTTTCTTTTTCATTTTTTTTAATGTTTATTTATTTTTGTAGGAGAGAGAGACAGAGCATGAGCAGAACAGGAGCAGAGAGAAGGGGAGACACAGAATCCGAAGCAGTCTCCAAGCTGTTAGCACAGAGCCAGACACGGGGCTTGAACTCACAAACTGTGAGATGATGACCCTAGCCAAAGTTGGGCGATTAACCGGCTGAGCCACCCAGGCACCCCCTCCCCAAAGTTTTCTATACCCACTTCACTGCTAATAGTAACTTTCCAAAGCTACTCATATCAATTGGCATTCTTCTTTCGCAAGCATTGAAACTGCTTCTGAAGGAGTTTTATTCAATGGGTATTGGGTAGCATAAATAAAGCATGGAAAGGCCAGAGAATTAAGTTCAGAAAACAGCAAATTCATGTGCCAATCCACTCAAGATTTACATGCCAGCAATCCAATTTACTTGCTAAAAAAAATAGCTTAATGTATTATTGTAGGTGAAGCCCTTGTGACCACCACCAAGGACAAGAAGTAAAACTTTTCCAGCCATCCCAGAAACCCCTCACTTCCCCAAAAATAAACACCATTCTCACTTTTATAGTAATCACTTCTTTGCATTGTCTTACAGTTTTACCACCTAAGTGTACTTCTCTAGACACTATTTGTATTTCCCTTACCTTTTTCTTTTTTTTTTTTTTTTTTTAGTCTTTCACAGGGTTGGGTTCTTTTTAAATAATATCACTTAATATACAGGCTTTCCTCCATCCTCCCCCTCTCCTTTTTTTCCTTACAATTTTTTCTTATAATGTTTTCTTACAACTGCATCCTTGCTGCAGTTCAACACGTTCTTCTCCGTCTCTATCTTCTGTATTTCCTTCAAAATGACACCTGGATCCAGAGGATTGATGACATTCAGGTATGATCCCTTTGGCAAGTTTAGATGATAGTTGATGTATGTTGTTTCAGGCAGTACATAGCTTCATTTATGCCATTGACAGGCATTGATGCTAAATGCCTAGGTCTATTAATTCCTTGGGGATTGCAAAATGAAAATTCTAATTTATTGTTTGTTACGAACTGAATGTTTGTGCCTCCCTCTCCCCCCACTCCATTCCTATATTGTAATCCTATTCCTCAATGTGACGGTATTAGAAAGAGGGGTCTCTGGGAGGTAATTAGCATTAAATGAAGTCATCAGGGTAGAACCCTCCTGAATAGGATTAATACCCTTAGGGGAGTCACAAGAGAGCCTGCTTACTCTCTCTCTCTCTCTGCGCTTTCTGCCATCAGAGGATACAAAAAGAAGTGGACTCTGCAACCTGGAAGAGTCTTCACCAAAACCCAATCGTGCCGAAACATCTCAAACTTACAGCCTTCAGAACTGTGAGAAATAAATGTTTGTTTTTTAAACCGCTCAGTCTAGAGGCACCTGGGTGACTCAGTCAGTTAAGCTGACTTTGACTCAGGTCATGATCTGACTCAGTTAAGCTTCTGACTTTGGCTCAGGTCATGATCTCACAGTTTGTGGGTTCGAGCCCCATGTCGGGCTCTGTGCTGACAGCTCAGAGCCTGGAGCCTGCTTCGGATTCTGTCTCCCTCTGTCTCTTTGCTCCTCCCCTGTTTGTACTCTCACTCTTTCTCTCTCTCGCTCTCTCTCAAAAATAAACATTTTAAACCACTTGGTCTAAGGTAGTTTATTATAGCAGTCCACACTGACCAAGATACCATTTTTTTATTCTGTTAGTAGCAATACTTTTATGATAGAAATTTTCCCTCATGGTCTAGTTTATCTCATGGTAAAGATACAAGGAAGGATAGACTGTTGATCCTTTCTCTTTATTTTACCAGTTAATTGGTTTGCTATCATCCCCTGAAAGTGACCAATGAAATTGTTTATATGTATAATAATATATTTAGATATTTAATGGGATATATTTAGATATTTAATGGAGTTCATATTTGATTGCAATTACTATCCTCATTGAAGTTCAAAGCGTCCTATCTCTAGTCAATGGGAACCCTTCAAATTGGCTTCCTTGCTATCTGGAATAGCAAGAAGTTCAAGGAGCATCTTGTACATTTTCTGCTTCAAATCTGAAATCAGCCATTTCTCCAAGAAGCCCTGATTTCTTTTAGTGGAAAAAGGTATTTCAGAACCACTATCTGGGGGCACCTGGGTGGCACAGTCAATTGAGCATCTGACTTCGGCTCAGATCATGATCTCGTATTTCGTGAGTTTGAGCCCTGCATTGGGCTCACTGCTGTCAGCACAGAGCCGCCTCGGATCCTTTGTCCCCCTTTCTCTCTGTCCCTCCCCTACTCACACCCTCTCTCAAAAAATCAATAAACGTTAAAAAAAAAAAAAAAAACTACTATTTGGACACTAGGGATGCTCATAGCTACTGGCCTGACCATAGTTTCTACAATTTATTTAACGCTACTCTGTGCCAGGCATTGCTTTAAGCTTTTCACAAATGTTAATTTGTTTATTCTTCATAGCAAACCTATTATTATCATCAAACTAAATCCCCATTTTACAGATGAGGAAGTTGAGGTACAGGGAAATTATGTAAATTGTTTAAAGTCACACAACTTGTAAGTGGCAGAGCCAAGATTAATATCCACAATCTTTACTCATCTTGATATACTTCCTCCCAGTTGACCTGTTTTCAGATGCCCACCCCTAGGCTAGGAGAAGGCAAAAAAAAACCCTGACTTACAGACCCACTAAGACACCCCCATCCTGGGAGGCCAAAAATACAAACAAAAACAAATGTCCATTACATTAGTATATTTTAAAAAAAAAGTCACTAACTCAAGATTATACAGCACCATTTTTATTATAGGCATTTCAATAATTAAATTTTGAAGAATCATATAAAATGATATATGATACAGAACGAGTTTCTCTTACAAAAGTTTAGATCAATCAGTTTCATTACAATTAAGACCAAGCAGCCAAAGAAAAAAAAGAATAGATTGACCCACAATAGATTAATCCCCAAAACCTCAGGAATAAACACGCAAGCAAGCTTGAAGTTTACTGTGACACAAATTGTGTATTCAGCCAAAAGGAGTATTTTCTTGTTAGTTATTCAACATTTGGCCCTGAGAGGACACGGGGCCATTAGCATGTGAATGATCTGACCCATCCTCCTCTTCCAAAGCAATAATATCTGGAATTTCATCAGTCTCAGATGTCAAGTCTATAGCAGTGAAATCAAATACCTGTAAAAGAAGAATCTTGGATATTAAAACAAACACTGGTGAACTGCACTGTCCTCATGGAGACCCTGATTACTGCATGTGAATGAGCCTCCCTTTCTCCATAGCCATGCTTCCTG